ATTCATTCTATTGCACATTCTTACCACTTGTTTTTATACGCAGGGAAATGCAGGGTTTTGAAATCACTGTTTTATAGTACAATACTGTATGAGGCTCCTGAAATAAAACACAGAAAGGTGTGATTGTTTTTGTAAATATGACTCATCTTATACATCACGTACAGTCTGTGTGATTAAACGTTCCCCCATGGTCTAGTGTTAAAAAAAGCAAATAAAAATCACAATATATTGCAATATCGAATTGCAGTACTTGTTGAATCACAGTTCTTAAAAAAAATCACAATACATATCAATATGTCACCCAAGTATTGTGATAGTGACATTTCATTAGCTCTTTGTCGTGATTAGTCTTGATTTTGGTTTAGTTTCATTGGCTACTATTGGATACTGTTTCAGTTAATGATTTCAGCCCTCCAAAAGCAATTTAGCAATTTCGGTATCATTTGTTTGTCCTATTATAATTTTATAATGCAGAGCTATTTAAAACTCTTTCCACACAAATAGGGTCTCACCATACCTATCAAAACCCCCTTTTTTCCTGGGAGTGTCCCCTCCCATTTTGTCATTTCTCCCAGGAAACTCCTGTAATTGTTTATGGCCTAAACCTTGTTATATGACTAATCACATCAATATATTATTCCAAGGTTAGCCAGTTGCCAGACCTTGTATGAAACGCATCCTACTCACACAATCGACGCGTCATACAAATTTCAACCCATTTATGAACTCAACCTGGCAACCTACAACCCAGCTGAGCTGTTGATATCAATTTTTAAAAAAACATTAGCATTTGTTGTCTTCTGATTTGGAATGGAGTTCTCTTTTTCAACATCCTCTATTGATTGTATACAAACGGCCAAAAAATGTTTTAGACTATTTAGTTAATTCCCGTTTTCAGATTTATAATCCTAGTCCATCTCAGAGATTACCGAGTCCTATACAAAACGGAAACTATCGATGTGGTAACTGTGCTCAGTGCAATAATACATTTAAAACATAATTTTTTTGTCATCCAAGAACTGGCAAAAATACACAATCAATTCTGTTATTACTTGTGCTTCGTCCCATGTTGTTTACCTGATTCATTGTCCCTGTGGCCTCGGGTATGTTGGATAAACATCACGTCAACTAAAATATAGAATCAATGAACATAAGAGTTCTATTAGAAGAAAATATGTTAATTATCCTGTTGCGGCCCATTTCCTGTCTCTGAATCATGATGTTTCCTCCTTACGTTTTTGTGGCATTGACAAAGTGACTGTGCCACCAAGAGGTGATGATTAGGGTTGGGTATCAAGAACCAGTTCCATCTTAGAACCGGTTCCAAATTTCCAATAATCGGTTATTCGATAAGACATGTGCATTTCGATTCCGCTTAACGATTCCCGCGTTCGCATTTTAATGTGATTTTAAACTATTTAAGTGCAGGAAGGGAAAGAACTTGCACACTGTTTGCGTGCAGCGCACACATCTGAAGCGCACAGAGAACTGTGGTCCCGATGCAGGTTCCCGACCTGTGTCCGTTCTCGAACTGTTCCGTGCATTTCCACAAAGGTTGTTCCGGGCCAGAACTGACTTCTCTTTCAACGAACTCGGTGCGGTTCGAATTAAATATGAACGCAACACAGACCAAATACTTCTAAACGAACCAAAAATGGGAAGTAATGACAAGATGCTACGCTGTGCGACATGATTTGACGACACGGAACGAGCGGTGTATCCAAACCAAAAGGAGCAGAGGGCAAATGTGGAGCAATGAGGAGGGGTAAAGTGCCTTTAATGAGCTCTTCGTGAGTTCACAGGTGGTGAAAATAAAATCATAAGTACACGCAGCAATGAGTGCACTTAGTCCAGCAGACGGCATTAGGCGTGTTCAACTTAAAGCGGCGCTGAGCAGACCGATCGGTGAATGGGTACTTTGATGTCATACACCGATCAGTCTGCGCAGCGCCGCTTTAAGTCGAACGCACCTTTTGCTTGGCGTGTTTGGTGAGTTCAGTCACAAAATATACATCATTCAACCCGACCAATCAGGTTGTGAACATATCACTATGCCTTTAGATGCGGTATCTTTAGGTTCACTGTAAAAAATGCTAGTGTGAACGCTAAGTGGACCAGGACCAGGACCAGGACCAAATGTATTGTTTTCTTATTTTGGTCCGAACCAAACGAACCAAGAAAACCGAACTACAAGTGTGAATGCACCCTCAGACTGCTCTCACTACGAGAGCATGTCTCAGTGAGCACAGCCTCAGAATGGGCACGGCCTAGGCAAGCGGCGTGCTCACTGTGCCCGCGTGAAGCATGCAGGGCACACTCATGCTGCAAAATTAGCAACAATGTTGCAGGAAATTTGCTCAGAAATTTGCTCTTACAGTAGGGAAAATTTTATTTGATCCCCTGCTGATTTTGTAAGTTTGCCTACTTACAAAAAAATGAAGGGTCTGTAGTTTTTATGGTAGGTTTATTTTAACGGATAGAGACAGAATACAAACCAAAAAATCCAGAAAAAACAATATATAAACGTTAGAAATTGATTTGCATTTCAGTGAGTGAAATAAGTATTTGATACCCAAGCAAAACATGACTTAGTACTTGGTGCAGAAACCCTTGTTGGCAAGCACAGAGGTAAGACGTTTTTTGTAGTTGGTCACCTGGTTTGCACACATCTCAGGAGGGATTTTGATCCACTCCTCTTTACAGATTCTCTCTAAATCCTTAAGGTTTCTTGGCTGTCGTTTGGCAACTCGAAGTTTCAGCTCCCTCCACAGATTTTCTATAGGATTGAGGTCTGGAGACTGGCTAGGCCACTACATTACCTTAAAGGGGTCATATGATGCGATTTCAAGTTTTCCTTTCTCTTTGGAGTGTTACAAGCTGACTGTGCATAGATAAGATCCCTGAAGTTGCAAAGACTAAAGTCTCAAAACCAAAGAGATATTCTTTATCAAAGTTAAGACTCTGCCACGCCCCCCTAAAATGGCTCGTTCTAACACGCCCCCACATATCTAC